AAATTAGTCTTCACGCTTATGCCTCCACGGATAAGGTCTTCGCGGATTTGTGGTGGAACCGTCCTGTGCATGCGTGGAAGCGCAGAACTCGTCAAAACGAGGTAAGAAACGCGGGCGGGCGGGTGGACCCTTGCGCGTTCCCGGAAGTTACTTACTTCTGGGTTCGCCAACCAACCGGTTCGCGGGGACCGCCGTGAACCACCTGAAACCCACCTCTGTCTGTACCACTATATTACGTTTCTGTAGTACTGTATCTATAGTTGTTTTTCAATGCAAAGCATTCATAAGAGAAAAGATCTTCCATTCTTCCATTTTTACCTTAACATGAAAAAGGTTGTTCAAAAGGCAAAGATATTGTTCTTCTAAAATTCCACGCAACTTGCTCAGAATGACATACTGCCTTGCATCATAGGTTTTACAGACATCCACCCCCAGGAACATTGCCATCAGTGTCCGGACAGCAAAGAAGTTTTGCCATGCATTTATCTTTGTCAGCTCCATTGCCACAACCCTGCTCAATTAGATGGACAAATGAGAATCTTGACTTGAAATTAATCAGAAGCAGATTATTTCAATTTGTGCAGCTAAAGCAAAGAAATTGTACCAGTATTGAATTTTAGTTCATTGATTACAGTGGAGTGATTATACGGAAGAAGTTTTTCGTACATCATTAAATAATAAAGCATCTTCAGACATCTAGTAATATCAGGAAGAGCTTCCCGCTCATGCCTCTCTGAATATTAAGAACTGCCCTCACCTTGTTTGATTGAACATTTGTGGGGCCAATGAAACATTTCCTTAGCTCTCTGCAATAATTTTGATTCATGCAAGATATTAATAACGAACCCAGATTAGTGTAACAATTCCTTCCAATTAAGTATCTGCCTATGTATCCTATTTAAAGTTTACTTTAAGGCCTTACTACATCGGCACAATGGCTCCGCAGTTAAGATACCGGAGTTGTCAGATAGAAAGCCAACAGCCTGGGTTTGAGACCCAAGTGCCATGTGATAGGAGTGAGCGCCAGTTTTCACCTAACTCTTGCCCACCTAAGAGTTTGAAAGCATGCAAATGCAAGTAGATAAATAGGTACCACTTTGGTGCGGAGGAAACAGCACTCTATTACATCATGCTGGCTACATGACCACGGAAATGTTTTTGGACAGTGCTTGCTCGCAGCCTCAAAATGAAATTGAGTGCTATAGTCAGCAATGACAAAGGAGCAAAATCTGGAGGGACTCCCTTTCCTTCTTTATGGCTTTACTAACAATAATATGTGTGTAACTAATATATATGTGTCCATGTAACACTTTACTTCTTGCTTGGGTGAAAAAAATGTGGACCTGCTTCACACATTTTCAAAGTTATAATACGTTTTATTTAATCTGAGCTAAATATGCTGGACTTCAAGAATATGAAGATAAAGGGATTAATAATTTTTAATAATGAAATAGAAAGCATACATGGAAAGGAGATTACAAACATTCAAGTTCGTTTTAAAGAGATTGAGGAACAAGACGCATTATTGGTGATATATATTGGATGATAAAGTCAAATAATATTCAGAAGCAGTCAATATCTCTTTCATTGAAGGGCCTTGGACCCAGGGCCGGATTTTCCTATAGGCTAACTAGGCTTCAGCCTAGGGCCTCAACATCAAGAGGGGCCTAAATTCAAAT